GTTACTGTTGATCATCTGTCCATCATCGTATAAAGCCCGCCCTGACAATTTAATTGGCCTGCCAGATATTGTGCGAGCATACTCGCGCTACTATTGAGCAATGCCAGACCTAACTTCCCGGCCTCAAACGTTGTGGGCGGGACTAAGTTCGGAATGGCACCCAGGCTACCCTTCCTCTGGCAGCTTAGAAGAAAACTGCTTAGAAGGGAAATTGGTCTTATACTTTAATTGTTCTCAGAATATTCATAATTATTATGCTTTTATTCAAAGAGGCAAACCTATCTTTTTCCTATTAGAAGCTCTTGTCTGTAGTTCTGTCCCTACAAATTTGTCCAAGTGCCCAGATCTTCCAGTTGTCTTCTTTGGTGAAGGGAGGCATCATGTGCTGATTGCTTGTTTTTCTTTGGGGTTCGGTTATAAAAACACGGCAAAATCGGCTAGGCTTAGGGTTCATTTCCAAAATTATGGAAATGTAGTCAATTACATCATTTTGGATAGGAGATAAGAAGAGATAAGATAAAAGAAAATAAGAGTAAAAGAATTTCAAGAAAAAAAAATAGACACTTAACAGTACAAATTCTGAATGTTCCATGACATTTATATATTTGATAAGAATATAGCAAAATGCAGAAGCATCACTATAGATGGAAAGGTAGAAGTAGTGCTGTATTTTTCTGCAGGAACAACTTAAAAATTACATCATCTTCTCTGTTGTGGCCTTTAGTTCACAGGTGTGATTCTGCTGGCTGTGGGAGTCTGGGGGAAAGTCAGCTTGGAGGCCTACTTCTCCCTTATCTCTGAGGACACCACCAACGCACCGTACGTCCTGATCGGCACCGGAGTCATCATCGTTATTTTTGGACTGTTTGGTTGCTTCGCCACATGCCGAGGAAGCCCATGGATGCTCAAACTGGTAGGAGAGGAGATGGAAGGAAACGTCCTTTCAGATCTCTGCTCTGGGATAACTGTGCTTCTCCTGTCTTCCAGTACGCCATGTTTCTGACTCTGGTCTTCCTGGCTGAGCTTGTAGCAGGAGTTTCAGGTTTCATCTTCAGGCATGAGGTAATGCATGAAAACATGAGCTTTTTTATTTTCTAATGGAATCATTAACCTTCTGCTTTGAACATTTTTAATTTCCTTTGTTTGAAATCCAACAGATTAAAGATAAAATTGGCCAAGCTTACAGCAGTGCAGTGTCGACATACAACGCCACAGACAGCAAGAGCATTGCAGTCGACACCCTCCAGAGAAAGGTTGGGATCCAATCTAATATATATCACATAGTATTTAATTCAGTAACGTTGATTCAAGTCTTTCTGAGGCTTTTATTTTGTTTATACTGATATTAAAATCATATTTTATGAGAAGCTGAATATTTCTCTCCTGTATGACTTTAATTCTGACATTGTGGTCAGTTTTTGTCGTTTAAAGATGTTTTTTTTTCTGTATTTCCAGCTGCATTGCTGTGGCAAGAGGAATTACACTGACTGGAAGGACACAGAGTATTTTAAAGAGAACGGGATACCAGTTAGCTGCTGTAAAATCGACAAGTGTTCCCAGGAGTCCCTGAAAGACCTGGACAAGGCTGGGACAGAAGTATACACTACGGTGAGTAAGGACCAATCACTTCAATGTTTGCAGGAAGCTTTACGTTGATCTAAACCGATCTGCTCCTCCTGTTAGGGCTGCTTCTCACTGGTGACCAATGTGTTGGAGGCCAACCTAGGAGTTATCGCTGGTGTCTCCTTTGGAATTGCTTTCTTCCAGGTATGTTGATTAATTTTCCTAATATTATACATTCAATCAACCAGTTCTTCTAACCAATGTGGGATAATTAGCAGGGGTATTTAATGATCATTCTCAACCACGGGTGTTGGCTTATAACTAGGCTATTCACACCTAAAGATATGTGTGTGCAAAAAAAAAAAAATAGGTTCTGATTATGACATCTCAGTCCTTCTCATCATCCATGTCCTGGAAAAACTTTATTTAAATTTTTAAGGCCCTATAAGATCAGAAAAAAGGAAAGCAACTAATATTGTGAAATTAAACGTGTTATAGTTTTAAGTGCAGCTTATTTATACACTGTTAGGCTCTGCATTCTGCTGATTAGTAAATGTTCAAAGTTAACTTCTATTGATTATTTGACCTGACCTATTGTTAAACGACATGCATCTGAATTATTATTTTTTTTTTTCAAAAGAACAAGTGGTTATATTTGAATCTGTTACATTTAAGAAATAAAATATGTAATTCCATTATTTACTTAAAGCTTTTCTTTTTTTTTTACTTTCAGCCATAAGATACTAAAGATTCAAGAGTAGCCTAAACTCAGGTCTCAGTGCATAACACCGGGACAGGCCACAGGAACGGTAGTGACAGCAATGTTTCCAGATTTCTCCTAAATGGATTTATTTAGTTAGGAGAAGGAAGTCAAGGGAGATGTTGTATAAAGGAAGTAGCTTGGAGACTTAAAGCGGCATGCCAAGGAGAGATTTAAAAGCATTTTAATGCTAAACACTAAGATTCTGTCAGCGTTCAGATGGAGAGAATGTTGCTTCAGTTCTGGTCAATATGGAGGATGTAGGTGTGGTCCCTCAGAACTTAATCTAATAAATCCGTACCTTGTTTGAATTTCCAGTATCTAGACTGGATCATGAGTCTGGATCCAAATATTGCTACAGTTGAGTCCTGAATAAAAATTTTCATCGAAATCTGACTCGTACTGTCTTGTAGATAGAATGGTTTAAAACCATAGACTGCTTCCCCAAGGAAGGTAGTGTGTAGTTAGAATGCATTTACTACAGTTTGAGCAGTTTACTTTTGGGGAAAAAAATATATTTTTTTACTGCCTTTCCCATTTTATTCATTCTTAGTGGAAAGTTAAACTAAAAGCAGTTCATTTAAGCAACAGCAGAGGGCAGTATAGTTTCAGCTTTTTATATTTTTTGGGAGCATTGCCTATCTAATCCCACGATTCACTGCAGCTTAAAGAAATAATGGCCAAAAAGACAGCATAAAAAGTGTGAGTAGAATATTTTAAGTTAAAAATTCTGTTTAAACCCAAAGTATCTGTTTGGTTAATTAAGATGTGGTTTAAAGTACTTCAGAGGTTTCATTGATTGCTTTCCTGCTGCGCTACAACTAACTAGTGGGAGGAAGTTAAACAGTTATCCAGTCAAATGGAATTAAATGTTTACGTTCCTTTTGTTTGACTCTCTTTTTTTTTTTTTTTTTTTTTTTTACTGAGGTTAAGATCAAACAGCATATTTTTATTTCACTAAATGTTTGGTGGAAAACCGGAGAGTATCTTTGGAATTAAATCATTTTCTCATATTAATATCTGGATGTTGATGCTAAGAACATGAACTGATCGAGGAGAATAAGCCCGACTGCAGATCGTGTTGATATGCTCCCCTTTTTACACTGTAATTTAAAATCCTTGTCAAACATTAAGCACAATAAAAGGCTTGAATTGTGAATTATCTCAAATCCATTTTTTACTTTACTTGAAACATTGCTGTTAGAAACAAATATATTTATTAAGAAATTATATAAAAAATATAATTAAGTATGGGGAATAATCATTGTTTCACACAAAACCTGCTTGGTTAACTCTATCTCTTGATAGATCAAAAAAAAATGTAAAAGTGTGTTAAAATGTTTTTTTGTCCATGATAATAAAAAAAACAAGATCATATGTATTGGGAAATGTATTTTCAAACGCTGTCTGCCCAGATAAAAAAAATGACGGCTCAACTGCAGAGATGTGAGACGGTAACTTATGGATGTAAAGCTAAGAATTAACAAAAGGGAGGAGATCATTCATTCTAATGACGAAATAGCAATTAAAGCCCCCCCACCCAGGTAATAATTAAGCCAGTACAGTGTTGTTATCAGGTAAAATGTAAACGTGCAGAGTCCAATGTTTATAATCAGTCATCTGGTTGTAAATTATGGGTTAAAGGATTGAAGTTAAATGTTGTCAGGCAGAGAAAACGGCAGGTAATAAATAAAATGACCTTGTTTGCTGTGAAACTCTGACTCGTCTGAAGGGATAGTGTCGTTTATTCTGTAATTCAGCTTTATGAAGCAGATAAAAACAGTTTCTGTCTTCTCTCATTTCCTTTCAGCTCATTGGGATCTTCCTGGCCTGCTGCTTGTCTCGCTACATAACCAACAACCAGTATGAGATGGTCTAACAGTCACCTGTCACAGGTGAGACTTTCACTGGCCTCACTTCCTGTTTCACATCGACCTGGTTTCATGAGTCCCTTTATCTCCCTGTTTGTCCTCTTTGTTTGCAGGTGACTGTTGGGCAGCTCTACGTGCAAACTGGGCTCAGATTTTAATGTTACACGTGTTAGTGTCTTTTTAGTGGGCATAACTGACAGCTTCTACTTTTACCGTCTCGTCAAGCAAAAGGGACATATGATGCTGTTTGACCAAAAAAAATGAACCTCCTTATTTCAAAGATTTGTTAACAGTTGGTCTAATATGAGTTTCTTTAAGTCTAGCTGTCATTAGTTAAGTTTCCATTTAAGTTAACTTGTCAGTATTTGTTTCCTTTCTTGCCGCTGCCTCTTTGTCATTAATAAGCTTGATTATAGTTTAAAGAAACTCTTCAACACCACTTGTGTCTTTCTATGTGAGATAATGGGAGCCAGAGAGCTGAATGTGTGGCCGTTGCTCTGTGCCATGGATGAATAATGTAGACATAAACAAGCCTTAAATGGTCTGTGGGCCAGTACTGATGAAAGCCAGCCATTATGTGCCAATTTCAGCAGCTCAGATAACTCCGTTTTACAGTCTTCAGTGTTAGTGTTTTTTTTTCTTTGGTGGATGCATGTAAAAAAAAAAACAATAAATAAAAATGAAATCTTGTATCTGTGAAAGTGTGTGGTCTCAGATTGATCTTTTCCACAATCGGAGGATGAAACGGGGCTTGTTTATCAAATAAGTGAAGAAATATAAGCTCTGAAAAACTTTTTCAGAGAATATAAGTGATGGCTTAATAACTGCATATACATTAGTACTAATATCTGACTATATATTATTAAACTATTTAATGATTTAGGGAGCATATGATGGAACCTCACTAAGCAGCAGAAAATGTGTTATACTCAAACCAAATACAAGGTATGAAGTAATTCAAGAAAAATGGGTCATGCACCTTTTTTATGAATAAATAATGTTTATCAGGATTACATCTAGTGAAATATCTTCTGACAAAATTTGTGATATATTCACATGAAATAGAGTCTCCAACCTGTGTTTCCTGTATTTTTACTTTGAGCCTCTGGGAACATTTGAGATTTCCTCTATTTACATGTTGGCAAAACAAACAGAACTCACATGAGTCGCTGAATGTGCAGAGACTCGACTGTATCAAACTTACTTTATTTGAAAACCACTGAATTATTAAAAGGCTCAGTTTGGTCTAATGTATTAAGTGGTTAAATTATTGCACATACAAAATTCTAATCTTATCAGTTTAAAACAACAAAAATATGGCTGGAAAATATTTTTTTTTCACAAGTACAAAACACATTTAACTAGCTTTATTCACCCATGCATGTATATTTATCTGAGTTTGTTTCTGCTAATAATAAATCTTCTGGATGCTCCAGGAATACCTGTGGAGTTCCACAGAGATCAGTGCTAGGACCAATTAGCTTTGCTATATTTATGCTCCCAATTGGTAGAATTATTAGACATGATGGGATTCATTTCTAGTGTTATGCTGATGATACTTGGCTATACCTTTCTATAATCCTTATTAAACTAACCCGTTACATAGACTACAGGTGTGTCTTGAAGACATAGGAACCTGGATGACTTAACTTTCTGCTTCTGAAAACAGACAAAAGGGAAGTTATCCTCTTTGGACCAGAGTCTTTGAACAAGAAGCTGATTAGTCTGTCACTTCATTTGGATGGGATTAAATTAATCTCAGTAAAGTAAAAAATCTTGTAATTTTTTAATCAGAACATGTCATTTAAATCCCATATAAAAGAGGTTTCTAGAATTTCCTTCATCTTTGGAGTATTGCAACAGTTAGAAATCTCCTGTCCAGCATTGATGCTGAGAAACTAGTCCATGCATTTGTTAATTCAAGGCTGGACTATTGTAATTCTTTACTATCAGGAAGTCCACAAACTGTAGTTAAAAGCCTTCAGCTGATCCAAAATGCTGCAGCCAGAGTTCTGATGAAAATTAAAAAGTGAGATCATATCTCTCCTATCCTGGCTTCTCTTCATTGGCTTCCTGTTAAATCCAGAATAGAATTTAAAATCCTCCTCACATTTAAAGCCTTAAATGGCCAAGCTCCATCTTATATCACAGATATGATTGTTTCTTATGTTCCTAACAGAGCACTTCGCTCTCAATCTGCAGGTTTACTAGTGGTTCCTAACATTTCTAAAAATAGAATGGGAGGCAGATCTTTTAGTTATCAAGCTTCTCTCCTGAGTAAAAAACTTCCAGTTTTAGTCTGTGAGGCAGAAACCCCGTCTACTTTTAAAGGTAGGCTTAAAACTTTTGTTTTTGATAAAGATTATAGTTAGAGTGGCTCAGGTTACTATTATTCTGAAATATCTCTATAGTTATGTTGCTATAGGCTTAGACCGCTTGAGGACATAGGGACCCCTTTTTATCATTCCGCTTCATTCTATCTCTATTCTCCCATTCTGCATCATCGTAGCTTCATCTGGTCTGTTCCTGTTTGGCTGTGACACCATCATGGAGAGAAATATCAGGTGTATCTCTGTTTCTTTTTTTTTTTTATGTCTGCTTCTGTCCCCGCAGTTAGATGGCTGCTCACATGGAGCCTGGTTCTGATGAAGGATTCTTCCTGTTAAAATGGAGTTTTCCTCTCCACTGTTTCTATTAGCATGCTTGGTGTGAGGGATTGCTGTTGAGTCAATGAATTGATGCAATCAGCTGGTTTTCCTTAGATAGAAACTTTGAACCAATCTGACTGTATGGTTGAATTGTCTCTAAATGTGCATTGAGATTATATGTGTTTTGAATTGGTGCTATATAGATAAATTGAATACAATGGGATTGTATACTCCAGTGTATTTGTTTTATGGTTTACATTTTTAAAATCAGAAAACATTTACATCACTTTTACATTAAATAAGGGAAGCCAATCACCTGCATTTGCTGTTGTGTTAACATTGGGCTACTCAGCATATCCATGATGCATCTCTGTTGGTTAAACAAACTCAACCTTAGATGCAGAAAATTATTGAACTTGAAGAGACATAAGAGTTTAAAGGAATATGCAAAAAATGCCTAAAAGTCCAGGTATTGTTTTCCAAATAAATCTGTCTTATGTGTTTTTAAGGCGATGTTTGATACCTGGAAGATTTACTGCTGTGCCTAACTTTATAAGACTATCAGTTACAGTCAATGGAAACCTAAAATTCTGTCCTTTACTTATTTTATTGCTTGACTCTACATTGTTCTTCCACACTTGGACATCAGTTTCCATATCCATTTTTAAGCTTACAGCAGTCCCTGTTCTGTGCAGCCTTTTCTGCACAGAACAGGTTTGCTGCTGTAGCATTGACTTTTTGATGACTTCCTTTCCTGGTGGAGGTGAGAATGAATTTGGGGTTTTACTTTGGAGGTTGTAGGTATTTTATTTTTTTAGAATGAACTAATGAAATAAATTCTCTCATCTGATTTTACACTATTAATCTTACCATCTTATCATATTAAATTTCACTCTCAAACCAAGAGATTTTGTTTTATGCAAATGACAGAAACGTTTCATTTTTTAAATCACTGACTGGGTTTTTTTTTATCCTTACATTTTATAAGGTTTGGTGTTTACTTGTATTTGTTAGTACTCGTTTAACCTGCTGATTCTCTGTGTTAAATAGCTCTTCTCATTTATGTGTGGTCTGAAAATGAATGCATATTTGTGAAATGAGAAACTTTTAAAAAGAGAACATAACAGCATGACCACAGTCAAATGTTAATTAGACTTTTTGCCACAGCTCTGCAGCAATTGAAGCAAATAAAAACACCTGACTTGTGAAAATTTGGATCTGATCAGCTTAATTAAAACCTTAATATTTTCTAACAAAAATTGGTAAAATTACATCGCTTAACATCGTAAATGTCGACGTCTAGTTCCTGCGTGTGGCTAAGCCAGCAGGGGGCACTGTTGCGCAAATATTCTATGCGGAAATGAAGATGACGATGGAAGAAAAACGAAACACATCCTAAACTTCAAATGAACCACTTTTAACCAATAATTTCTGTGCTTCCCGCTCGTTTAGCCTGACAGACTAGTATTATTGATATTCTTCGGGCAGAAACGGCCTGGTAGTACAAATGAGATGTAACCAGGATGCGGATAAAGGCCGCCAAGCCCTAAACTAATAGGCCTGATTGACAGCTCTAATCGCCTCTGTGATTGGTCAGCTGTGGATCAGAAGCTTTGGAGCTCCGCCCACATTCTCCGAGGCCTCCAATTGACTCGGTAGAGAAATAAAACGAGGCGGACTTTGATTTGTTTTATTTTTTTCAGCCGGCGCTTCTGGTATAAAAGCGGCCCAAGCTTCCAGACAGTTGAGGAAATTTTCACCTTTCCTTCCCGGCGGTTTAGGTCCGGTTTTTGACGAAACTAACAACTAAAAACCTCAAACAAAGCATCTTCGCAGGTTTCCAGAAGCTTCAGGTCAGTCTGCATCCTCTCTTTTATGGGTTTATTCTTGTAGAAGTCAAGGTCATGGCGATTTGATTCGCTGCTGAGAAATTACAATAATCTTTTTTAGGGATTATTACTAATAGAGATTAGTCTTTATATTATAGGCTTTAAGTTTGATCTCTTTTGGATCGAATTTGCTTTATTGAATATGAAGTTTGTGCCAAACATCCGCACTTCTTTGCATTTCCTGTATTTTTTTTTTTTTTATAATAAACCCTATTGTCCTCTCTTTGCAGGTCAATCTCTTTTAAACCTCTCATAAGCTAAGCCAAACCTAAAGCCTTCACCATGATGCAGATCAGCAACGACCCAGCCAGCAACAAGCACTCCCTCCTCAACGTCATGCACCGCTTCATAGCAGCTGCTAACAACATGGACGAGACCATCATGGTGCCCAGCCTGCTCCGAGATGTGCCCCTGGAGGAGCAGGCCAACAATAACAACGAGGAGCCCCAGGTTTCCAGCAACAAGCAGAGGGACATGTATGAGCACTACCTGCTCCTCAAGTCCATCAAGAACGACATGGAGTGGGGCCTGCTGAAGAGGGAGATGAGCAGTGGGGCGAGCTTCCTGGAGATTGCTGTGAAGCAAGAGGAGGAGCAGTCTTCCATGAAGGGGGATCTGCCTGTGGAGGACAACGCTGACCTGGAGCATCAGTTCCATTATCACCTCAGAGGACTGTTTGGCGTGCTGTCCAAGCTCACGCTGC